AATAGGCTGAATTTTACAGTCAAAAATCCTGAAATAAGTGTTAACTGGTAAGTCCTGAAAACAACTGAACAGTTTCTGAATGGGAGCTAAGGCTTTATCTGCTTGTTTTGCCAAAGTATAACAAGCTTTTGAAAAATTATTTCTGCAGGATAAGACAATTCCCAGGTATTTATAATAAGAAACTACTTCAATGAGCTCGCCATTTAATGACCACCTTTCATGTTTTGATAACTTTCCACCATTTTTGAAAACGACTATTTTACTTTTTTCAATATTTACTTTTAATCCCCATTTAACCTAATAATGAGATAAAATATCAATTTTACGTTGTAAGTTAACAACTGAATCTGCGAATAGTGCAACATCATCAGCAAACAACAGGAGATAGATTTCCTCGATATCACAGTCAATAAATATTCCATGGGTATCTTCAGCCAACATAGTATGGACTAACTCGTCAATATACATAAGGAACAGAATTGGTGATAACAAACACCCTTGTCTCACACCTGCAGACGAAGAAAACATGTCTGTAAATTTACAGTGATCACCTCATACAGAAGCTTTAACATTTAAGTAAATACTATCAATTACAGAAAAGATTTGCCATGAATTTGCTTTTTGAGTAATATATACATCAGCTTTGGCCTGTCGACTAGGTCGAAAGCCTGTTTGAAGTCCACAAACATACAGTAAAACTTTCCACCTTTTCGTCTTAGGTATTTATGAGCAATGTTGTATGGAATAAATTGATTGTCAGTAGCTGAATAGTTTTCATGGAATCCAGATTGCAATTCAGATGGTATATGTTGGAGTTCTAGCCACAGTTTTAGCCTTGCGCAATCACTGCAGTGCATAGTTTTCCCATAATGTTCAAGAGACTGATTCTTCGATAATTACCCGGGTCTGTGGGGTTGCCTTTCTTGTGAATTGGGACCATGAGACTGGTTTTCCAAGTGTCAGGAAATATACCAGTATTTAATATAGAGTTAAATAATAACACAAGATAGGGTAGTAGCTCCTGTGATACAACTTTGATGGCTTCCGGTTGAATCCGATCAAGGCCTTGAAATTTATTTAATTTTAACTGCTTTATGACTTTACTGATTTCTTAAGACGTTATGTCCCTCCTAGGATATCGTCACAGTCACCACACTTTTCACAAGTATACGGATTATGGTCCGACAGCAAAGATTTTACTTCTAGATCGAATTCCGCTTCATTGTTAATGTCCGGGTTGAGGAGAGTTTTAAAATAATCCAACCAAGTGTCTGATGAAATGTTGTTTGTGGTAGAAAATTTCCCGCTACTATGCTTTCTCTCAAGTTTCCAAAACTTTTTACAATCCTTATCGCTTGCTCCTGCAGTTATATCATCTATTACTTTCTGTTCGTAGGCTTTCTCTTTTTTATAACACAGTTCCTTAAATAACTTCTTATTCCGGATATATTGTCTAGGGTAATAATTACAATTTGTCTTTCTAAACGAATTCAAAAATTTATATTTATCTTTCTTTCTGGCATTACACTCTTTATCAAACCATGGGGGTTGTGTACTGGTGTTGTATACTTTCGAAGTCGACTTCGAACTTGAAACAGCTTGGAAGGACCTGTAAAAAGGTTCTTGTAATAATGTTACACTGTTGTTGATGTTGACATTTATTATTCCCTAAACGCATCAAATTTGTCCTTCAGTAAATTACTCAGAATTGTATTAAATGAGTCCTGATTACTCGCATTACAGCGATACCTGTTCAAGGTGTGTACGCCAGTGTGCGCTGCATGTGCCTGTTAATGTGCATGAGATGGCTTGTCAATTTCAGACAGGCGCGAGAAGTAGGTCACGATGGGCAGGTGATCTGACAAGGATTCAGCTGAGACTTCACAATCAATCACTTTATGGAAGATATTGGAAGACACAATACAATAATCAATGACACTCTTACCCCTGGGGCCTATGAATGTAAACTCGCCAAACTTGTCGCCTGGGAAGCGACCATTGGTGAAATGTACATTGAGATTACAACATAAACTAATTAGTTGTTGACCAAAATCATCAAGTATCCCATCTTTGGACATAATATTTGCATAGGAAATTGACACATTTATTGTAGTACACCATATTTTATACCTTTACACAAGTGTTAGAAGATCACACGTAGCCATGACTGCAACATGTACTTTAGTTCCTATGATGTACAATATTCATTGCATTGGGACTAATATTGCAGTTTCATATGAACATGTTAATGAACAGCGATTTAATTCAACCTTATAAGTAAAACTGATAATATTAATGAAAATGATTTTATGAAATGTATATATGCACACATATTTAAAGGAATTGTCTAGTTCATTGAATTTGTTTGTGTCATTTTGTAGACAAAACAATGATGTATGGCCAGGTGCGCGTTTGTCAGAAACATTTTATGATTCACTATCATTGTTTTCGATCATATAATCAATTCATATTCGATTAAAAGATATTGTGATGACAGGATATCAATCTCTTACTATATGTATACAAAAATTGTTTAAAAATGTATAAATCATGTCATGTTTACATTGGATAAACCTTACAACCACATTCTAATAGTTCCATTAAAAAAACCCTATTTTTTTGCATCTTCAGTGCATACTTATGAAGAGAAATAGCTGCATCATCATAAACAAAGAAAATACTTATCCTAAAAAAAATATTCGGGTATTGTGAAATATTATTTTTCATTTACGTTATATTAATGCCAAACAGGTGCGCGTGTAGCTCACAATAACATATACAGTGAAACCTTCTAATTGTTGATATATTCAGGATAATATTTAAATGCTAAAATCAGTCATCTTATGTTTTGTCTAAAGAGTGTTAAATTCTGACATAGAAGCCAAGACCATTTATGCAATTAATGGAATTTAGGTGAGATATATATACTAATCAACATATCAATGTCATCTTTTTCCGACGTCGCAAAATACATAAAACAAGCAATGACGTCAACTAGAATGTAATCTTTTCAGTAGTTTCATTACATTTGACAATATGGCTAGTACTCTGTTAATAATGATGCAAAATTAGTCAAATTACATCTACACAAACAGGAGAATATGGGAATCTAAGAACTAACATATATCGGATAGGGCCATCCAAATCACTATTACGTGCTTTCACATATAGTACATTGTCATCTTTTCTTATAAATTGTGGAACTACCAAAACGTATCCGCTCACATTGGGGAACTTTGTATTGGAATAGTCTGGTTCACGGTGAACAAAACATAACGAAAATATGGCGTCCCTATGCACAACAAATTCTCTCCAAGTAATCTAAGTTATATTGACCTAGTTTTAAACATGGCGGAGTTATGCCCCCTTATCTTTCTACGTGTATGACCTCTCTGTCGTCGTTTTTACGTCATAGAAGGAAATCCATTTTTGACATTTATTGCGAGTCATTTCTAATGTTGAGCGTATAATGTTATGCATAAGCACATAACCCCATTTCCTGTACACTTATGTCGTTCAGATATCAGGCAATTCTTCGCTCACACTTTCCGTAAAGATGCCAAATAAAAAAAATCATAGCACAGTGTTTTTATCGGTGCACGATATAAGCGGAGAAATTTACTGTATTTTAATGCATAATAAAATTTGGGACAACATTTATCAGTGTCTGTTTCTCAAACCGCCGAGGTAGTTGCACTTATATTTATACCAACGGATAGGAAATTTAATATTCTACATTTCTGTAGATCGAGGACCACGCGAGCGCAATTCTTGCACAACGTTCACATTTGAAACCTTATGAAAATGTGCGCTTGAAAAAAAACTCGGCATCCAGGGGGTTAATTAGGATTAATTAAGAAGGAATAAAATAGGAAGTACTCAATGTTACGACTAAACACTACTAATAACGGATTGTAGTTTCAAATCAAAACATACTGAGAATCCAGTGAGGGTTTTGTGTGATATGTGATGATATGCCCTGGTCGGATGTCTCGAAGTTCGGATAACTCAATGTTTTTCTTCCCATCAATATCGAGACAACAGTGTTCGACTGTAATTGTTTTGTTCCCTACTGTAAAAGAAACAGTCAAATAGTCATACAATCAATTATTCGAGGTTACTGTATGATATAATCATGATGTATATCACGAATGGCATGAGAAAATTCTAAATGGCGATAACTGTTACAGTTAGTTGTGAGAAAACATCTATTTATGCTGCTATGATTCCCTTCCGCCGTGTTAAATAAAAACATGATCGGCAGCAGTGAACGGGCTGGACACATCGGTAAATAGCTAATTAAGTATCATGATTAATTTTGCTTTATTAATTTAAAAAACAGCGGAGTTATTTTGTAAATACTGCTAAAATATGGCGATAACTGTTCGGTAGCCAGTATGGGTAAGCAGGGTATGAAACGCCCAAAAATTTCAGCCAGACCAGTCTGGTTAGATGTAAAACTTAGTTATTTTTACAAGTGTTTTGTTAATTGATTCACTTTATAATGAAAAAATGCTTCTTCAGCTTGTGAACATATGGTCTACATATGGTCTTGAATTGTTTTGTTTTTTGCTTCTATACTGAATCATGACAAACATGCAATCATTACTGAGAACAAATGAAATTGCAGGAAATATGCAGACTTGTTGCATGAGATTAAACATGTTCTTTTCTCACAAAAATAACATTTTCAAATGTATTCCATATTGAGGAATATGCCAAAGAAGTGTTTGTTTAAGTCGGTTATTCAGTTGCAAAAAATGGAAATATGAGGTTTTTTATCACTGTAGCCTTTAATTACACCAAGGTTTCAGAACACATTGCAGTATCCTCAAAATATGAACTTCAGGTGTAATTAAATTTTAACTTAACATTTTGTTTCAGGAAATATTTCTGCATCCATAATCCAGTTAGTATATTTGAACACTCTCAGCAGCCCAGTAATGAAAACAAGGGTCAATGCTTCACTGCCTCTATAACATGACTTTTCATGTTTGCAGGTATTTCAGTTTGCTGAAGGACAGTGATGGAGAGGAATATAGCAGGACCAGATTCAATGACCTCTATACACAGAACTTCCGCTTCTTTATTGTCACCAAGAATCCCTACCCTCCAGAATCTCTGATGGAGATGACCTATCCAATAAGGGTCTTTATCCCCACATGATTCAGAACTAATCCTGTTACAAAACACAGATAACTAGACAAGTTGTAATACTGACTGACTGAGTTTGATTTTATGCCGCTTTAAGCAATATTCCAGCCACATCACGGTGGGGGACACCAGAAATGGGCTTCACACAATGTACCCATGTGGGGATTCGAACCCGGGTCTTCGGCGTGACGAGCCAACGCTTTAACCACTAGGCTACCCCACCGCCCACAAGTTGTAATAGAAGCACCTGACCTGGACAAATGTTGTAAATGACTTATTACTCACTTAAGGTGAGCACATTACCTTAATTTTAGTTGAAGACTACGTATCTTCTGCCTCTATTACATCATTGCTGTAAATCCTGTAGTTTGGCTGCTATCGCAACTATTGAAAGTTTGGTTTTATGCCAGCTGTACACATGCATTGATGCTTTTTTTACTGTCGTTCACTGTTCAGGTACCTGTTTGAAATCGCAGCTTAAAATAAGACATTTTTTTAAGCTTTGTGAAAGGGTTCAGGCTATAGGCCTTTTGGAATCTGGTCAAACTCAGCGGCAGGCTGCTGTCGACTAGTGGGAGTCAGAGTGCTATTGGTAGACTGTGGCAGAAATTTCAAGCCAATGGGTTCGTGGAATATGCACGTTGGCCAGGTCGTCCCAGAGTCACAACAGTCGGAGATGATAGACGTTTGATTAACACTGTTTTGCGTAACAGATTCCATAATGCAGCACATCTTCACACGGAATACTTCAATGTTAACAATGTAAGGATATCCAGGAGCACCATTTGTCAACGTTTAAGGGCAGCCGGACTCCACTCTCGACGATCTACAGTTCATCCACCACTAACACCACGTCACAGACAGGCGCATTGAACTGGAAGTAGACATCATGGCCACTGGAATTAACGTCAGTGGTCTTGTGTGCTCTTCACAGATCAAAGCACATTCAATTTGTCCTTCATGATGGTTGGCAGAGAATTCATCGTCGCAATGGGACGTGAAACACAGATGCAACTGTGGTAATGCATAACCGATTTGACAGATGGGTCGGTCATGATTTGGGCATGTGGTTGATGGTAATCTTACCTGACAGCGTTATTGGGATGAAATTCTGACTCCTATATCAGTACCATTCCTGCAAGCTTTTATGGTCGACTCTCTTTACTGCAAGACAACAACGCTGGGCCTCCTAGGGCCAGTATTGTCACGGAATTCCTTAGACACCAGGGTGTATAGCAGATGGAGTGGCCAGCATGCTCGCCAGAGCTTTACCCAATTGAGCATGCCTGGGATGAACTCGGTCGACATGTGTACACGCGTCACCCAGCACCAGTGGATCTCCCAAGACTTCACAAAGCTCTAGTAGAGGAATGGAATGCGATTCTACAAGCTTTCTTTATGAATTTGATAAGGAACATGAGAACAAGGTGCAATTGTGTCTTGGACGTGCGAGGAGACGTGCAAGATATTGAATAACCTTGTGCTTTGTGCTTGTCGTATTTATTTTATTTTTTTTGGGGGGGTGGGGGTGTGGGGTGTGGTGTCTATACAACTGATGTTTGCTAGTGTTGTTTGAACTTTTTGTCTGATGTGTCACGTTTGTCAACTCATTAAACATTATGATTACACTCTTAGTTCTATTATTTCTGAGAAACTTTTCTTTACATGTGCTATGTATCATTTGACCCGTTTTTAATGACACCTAGTATATGTTAGATTTGGGATTACGCTTTCTCTGAAAGTACAGATTCTACTATTTTGGGGGGCTTTCCAACTTTGGACTCAAACCTACACGTTCAGAGTGCAACCGCCAGCTCAGAAAGTCATCTACATCATGTACTTTGTGTACCCCACTAGACCACCAGTTGTTGCATTTTCATTTTTCTGAAAGCCACGGTGGTTGAGTGCGTTAGATCGCTGACTGTGAGTGCTAGCATAGGTGCCTGATTCTACGAGTGTGGGTTTGAATTCCCGATGGAACTCAACCCCAAAAATAGCAGAATCTGTACTTAGCCGAGAAATTGTAATCCCAAATATAACGTAGCATTTGAGCACTTTCTAAATCACATTGTGTGTATTCCTAGCATCAAAAACACCAAGAGAAAGGATGCAGCTCAAAAGATGACAGAGGTAATTGCACCTTAAGCGAATATCTCTTGTCTCTACCCAAGTAGATCTGCTTGGGTTTGCTATGATTTTGGAGCAGTTGTTTCTTTAGCAGAAAACAACTATGGAATCCCTTCTCAGTTCTCAATTATGAACTGAACTGGCATACTAAAGAAAGTACACCTCAGTTATTTGGGGATTATTTTCAAAAGAACAAAGTACTTATCTTGAAATATATTTTGTCTGGGACTTACAAGTCATAAACATTGTGTACATGTTGACAAAACACCACAGACATTCTTTACAGTGCTGTCGATGGATTATCATGAAAATCATGATTTTTGTTGAATCATACTTTTATGTGCCAAAAGTATGATTGAGATTGTTAGTGGTGTAGTTTGTTAAATGCACACATCAATATGCCAAGATTCTTTGGAACGGATCGAGAATTAGCCATTGAAATAGATGATAGATGGGGGCTTCAAACCGCCATATCACAAGAATGTTTGGCTGCATAAACTAACGAAATGCATCAACCACACTGGACTAACATCTGGGAGTCCAAGAACTGGAGGACTGAAGTGACCACCAAGCCAGATCACCTGTGCATTCACCATCTGCACTCACAGTAAGAGGGTTTATGAATACGTTCTTTCGACATTTGATTGCCTTTTTTTCTAATCCAAAGGTTTAAATGCCAGAGTGCAAACTTTTAAAAATCCCATGGATTTTCAGCAATGTAGATTTTATCTTTTCACGTGGGACAGAATTCTAATGGCTATGGAAGCCTGGCAAAAGCCAGGTGTTTCCTTGTAGTAAATGGCTAACAACCTGTTCTCTACAGATTTTGGAGACTAAAGACAGATTCATGTAATAAGCATATAATTTTTTTTAACTTATTCCTGAATTTACATGTTTTCAGAAATATATTTCTTGTTAATGAAAGTAATATCACAAACTTAGAAATTTTATAAGTGTGTGAAGTAAACTGAAATAAGGTCTAAACTTGATAATTTCTGGCCTTGTCTGACATAACAGCCTTCAAAAGAAATCTCGCGAGGTGACTTGTTACAAAATCATTCTCTTTATGAATGGCATAAGTGTCTGTAAACATAGTTTACTCTAGTTCTCCATCAAACTTCATCAATTTGTTCATTTTGTCACATTATAAGACAACATACAATCAGACATATATGAACAGTTAAATGCTCCAGATCTATTATATGAACTGAAGAAAGTCTTCCTCAAGGTTAACAGCAAATTATTGTCTTGTTTCTGAAATAAACATTAACCCGTGAAGGTCTGGGTTAGAATTGGCCTTCAGCAACCCATGCTTCTCGTAAGGTTGTTACACAGGTCGATGCTTATGCTGTTGATCACTGGATTGGTTCGTCCAGACTCGATTATTTACAGCCTGCTGCCATATAGCTGGAATATTGCCGAGTATGGCGTAAAACTAAACTCACTCACTCACACACTCACTGAAATAAACATTACACAGTCTCTGTTGACAACATCAAGGTGGATTGAGCAACAGCAAGCTTATGCTTCTCCATCCTCCTTTTCCTCATCTCAGGTTTAGCTGAAACATGTTATTCTGGTTAGTTACAGCAAAATATACTCCTCACACAAAAATTAAGCAACAAGTATTTTCAGTGTAATATCTTTATCAATCTCGACAGCGATTTTTTGCCGACATGTTACTGAAAGGTAAATATTCAACGAATACATAACCTTTAGTGACTGTCAGATAGATTTATCTGATAACATTGATAACATCACCCGAACCCAACCACCCTCAGAAACAACATGCAAAATGTGTGGTATGAATGTGCTCCACTCTTCACACATTTAAAACGTTTAAAACCTACCAGTAAACCTACCAGTAATCATTCCTCTGGTACAACAAGTAGCTCCTAACTTCTTTTTATGGATGATAATGCCTGTCCACATCGAAAAGAGTCGCTAAAGACCTTGTTTAGATCAACAAAATCACACATATGGACTGGAATGCAAAGTCACCTGATCTTAATCCAATTGAAAAAGTATGGGACATAATCGGAAGTCGTGTTTACAGTCTGCATGTTCCCCCCAGACTCTGGATGAACTTGAGCAGGAGTTACAGAGAGTATGGCAGATCATTCCACAACTGCAACTTTAAAGGCTCATTTGGACAATGCAAAGATGTGCAGAAGCTTGCATTTGTGCTCATGGTAGTCATACGCGTTACGGAAAACAGCTTCACTGTCCAAAACTGACTTGAACTTTAATGTGAACATTTTGCTCCACCAATGCAGCACATTTTAAACGACTGTTTCACGGGTACATGCTTTTGGTGATTTGTAAATCTATTATTGATCAATAACATTTCATATCATTTTATCAATTGTGTGTACATACGTTTCACCTTTCATTCCATGGTTTGCAATTCCGATAAATAAAAATGTAATGAGACTACAAATTTGTGTTGCTTAACTTTTTGTGAGATATATAACAGGGAGTTGTGGGTGGGAGTTGAGACCTTATTTCAGTTCACTCATAAAATAAAACTCCCACCCACACCTCCATGTTATAACAAAGCACACATAATGAAAGCATGATTTTATGAGTGAACTGAAGTAAGGTTCACTTTCATTATGTGTGCTTTCGCGCACTTTTAAAATTTCAAACAAAAAAATTTGTGAACTGAAATAATGTCTAAACTTGATAGTTTAAAACCATTACTGGTTAATTTATGTTTTGAACTTGTTCTGTTCTTTGTCAACACATGGTAATGATTACACAGTGCCATTTAGAAAGAGGTCAAATGTAACATATGTTATATTTGGGATTACACTTTCTTAGGAAAGGACAGATTCTACTACTTTTGTTGGGTTGAGTCCCATCCGGGATTCAAACCCAAACCCTCAGAGTTATGCACCTAATCGCCAGCACACAAAGTCAGCCACATAATAGTCCAGTAAAATTCGTGGAAAAAATCACTGAACCTCCAAAAACTTGGTACAGAAATGGTTTTGTGTTTATATCGTTTACAATAGTTATATAAACAGTATATAAAAAGTCCTCCCTTGGATGTTGATGCTAAGAGGCTTTTTGGGGCCAAAAACTATGAAAAAATGGTATTTTTCAATTATTATTTTTATCTGAAAATAAGTCCAGCAAATGGTATTAAATCTTGCAAAACATACAACTGAAGTGTACAAAATATTAAATAATGAAAATTAAAACTGAAAAAAATTTATGACATGAGGTTTGAACAAGTAAATGAGAGTTATCTCCCCTTTGTTTACAATTAGTTTGAAGTAGCAG